ATCTTCACACACGGTATCGTGTGCACTCCCTCCCAGGGACATCTAGTTTAAGGGGAAAAAACAAAAAATCAATAGGTCTGAGCAGCATCCCTTTTCTCTGCATTCCCACTATTGTCATCTGTTTGATTGTATCAGCTTACTCTACTTCTTCCATTCATTTGTCACCACTACTCCTTTTGTGGTTAAGTTCATCTGTTACTAACATTCTTCCCCCACTTCAGGGTCTAGGCCTGAAACGTCAGCCTTCCTGCTCCTATGATGCTACTTGGCTTGCTGTGTTCATCCAGCTCTACACCTTGTTATCTCATTCTCATTGCTCCTTTTTTGTTCAGGAATGACTGAATTTTATTCTGTTAATCACCTGAATGTACTTTTTTTTAAACCTCAGTCTTCTACATTCAGCTAACTTACATAATGGCTGTTGATAAAAATGCAAAAAAATTGATTCACTCTTCAGATCAGTCAAGTGCCTGCATTTTACACTGAAATGAAAGATATTCTTGGACTGCCATTCAAAATCTTTAAATATATCACCACTCTTTGTTTGGAGAAAGCTGATAGGTGAAAAGGCAGCAACATTTTGTATTCAGAGGTGAATCAACAGCATTAACTCTCACATGAAATAAAATGAATAAGAGAAGAACAACAAAAACAAAGTTGCTGGAAAAGCTCAGCAGGTCTGGCAGCATCTGTGAAGAAAAAAAAAACAGTTAATATTTCAGTCCGGTGACCCATTCTCAGAACCCAGGAGAAGAGGAAGTCATACTCCCTCCTGAAACTGCAACCCTTTTTAATAAAAGCATGACTTCAACTGTACACATCTGCACATTCTCCAGAAATTTTGGCTGTCCTCTTGTTCAGAAGTTTAAGTTCATTCTTAAATATATTCAATGATTTAGACTCCACAACTCTCTAGCCATAGATAATTCCAAAACAGAAGAAAATCCTCCTTATCTCCATCTTAAAGAGGGAGACACCCTCTTTTGAAACTGTGTCACCAGTTCTAGGTTCCTTCATGAGGAGAAGGACATCTCAGCATTCATATGCCAAGTCCTTCACAATCTTATGTTTCAATTCAATCATTTTTCATTTTCTAAACTCAAGTAAAGGCCCAACCTAAGAGCATCAACTGATTCCTATCAACAAAACAAGGTAGACATTTTAATCTTGGTACAAAAAGAAAACAACCATAATATTGTTCCCTAGCAACAAAGGGCTATTTTAAGCTAATATTGAACAAACTTATCATATTTGGCTATTTAGTCTTAAAAGTAGAGGTCACAGATCCAAACAAGGTAACAATTAGCACAGAAATATCAATCCAGAACATCACTTCAAAATAAATTGCCGATTGTCAATTTCAGCTTGTGGCTCTTGGTTGACAAAAAAAAAAGTCAATTCAGAAGTCGTAACATTATCTGATTTTCTTTGAGCATTCTCTGGTTGGAGAAAGTGAAGAACTGAATGTACCAAATAAATGGTTAATATGACAAATTACTGAAATTCTCCCCTACTGACACTTCAAACCAATTGCCCTGTTTTGTTCTCTAACGTTAGCATCATACCACCTCTTGCAGAATTTTCTATGTGCTGATTTAAAGAGCTCTCCTGAAAGATTAAGAATCCCATCTCTTGTAATCCTCTCACACTTTGTTTATTTCTGTAATTATTGGAAAAGTGAAATCCACTATGAATTACTATTTTTTTTAAACAGTTCTGAAATTGGCTTATATAGTTGTCCTTCTCTCTCTCTCTGACTTTTTGGCAGACTATAATACACAATGATCACAGTTTTTATTTTTATGTTCCACCAATATGGCCTCAGCTGAAGAGCCCAAGATATCATCATTTCTTATTAGAGCAATGAATTCCTTGATCAATGCAGCAACATCACTTTTTTTTGTACACCTTCCCAGTCTCACCTGAACATTCTATACCATCGTCCTCTCCTGAAGTCCAGCATCAACCAGGCCTCCATGACAGTGATAGTATTATACGCCGTAAGTCCAGGAAGGGAAATGTGACTGTGGAAGTCATCGTTATTGAAACTGCACTCCATGAAATCTTGCGGCATCAGCTCAAATATGGGCATGGAGAGTCCTGCTGATTGACCCCTGTTGTGCTTTGCCAGCTGATGCCCCAGTACTCCTCCACATTCATCACTACCCTGCAAGAATGTCTTCTGGTTGATGAACATCAATGTGCAGAGTGAACTGATAGCACTACCGACATGGCTTACTCTGTCCTGAAGAGCAAAGCCTCGCATTGGGTGATGAGAGAACCAACACAGTAGGACCAAGTACACATTCCCATATTCACCAATTTATTTATTTGACATGAACCAGTCTATGACACTGCTGATAGAAGTGACCAATGCACAGTCCTTGTGGATACAAAATCCTGTCTTCACCATAAGTACACCCCATCACTCTCCCAAACAGTAAAGATTATGAATATTTCCATCAGATCAAAACTTGATCTCCTGTCGTGAGCTATCAGTAGTGCTAGAATTGTAGTCCATCATAATCTGTAACCTTATTATTTACCATGTCCCTTTCTCTAACATTGAACCAGAGTGGTCCCCTAGCTTGGTGTTAATGAGTGTACAGCAGCACGTTAGGAGCAGTACCAGACGCACCTTAAACTGAGATGCCAACCAGGTGAAACTACATCATAGGACTTAAACGCTTAAACAGGCTGAAGAACTTCATTCAAAAGTGCGAATGATCTCAGCCTCCTCTTGAAGGTCCATAGCATCTCAAATTCCAATCTTCAACCAATTTAGTTCACTCCACATTATCAAGAAACACTTAAGATAGTAGGATAGGTCGATAAAGTAGTTAAGGCATGAGATACCTGCCTTTATTAGCTGCGACAGAGTTTAACAGCAGGGAGGTTATGCTAGAACTGTAGAAAACGTAATTAGGCCACAGCTACAACATTGTGTTTTAGAATCCACATTACAGGAGAGATGTGATCGCACTGGAGAGGGTGCAGAGGTGATTTAGCAGAATGTTGCCTGGGATGAAGAACTTTAGTTGGGAAGACATTGGATAGACTGGGGTTGTTTTCCTTTGAACAGAGGAGGCTGAGGGAGGACATGATTGAGATGTAAAAAAAATGAGAGACATAGATAGGATAGACAGGAACTAAACTTTTCTGCCTCATGGAGGGTTCACTGACCATAGATTTAAACTAAGGGGAGGAGGTTTAGATAGGATATGAGGAAATTTTTTTTTCACCCAGACAATGGTGGGAATCTGGAACTCACTGCCTTTAAATGTAGTACAGGCAGAAACTGTCGTAACATTTAATTAATTAGATATGAATTTGCATGATGCCAAGGCATCCAAGATTATTGTCCAAGTGCTGAAAAGTGGGGATGGAATAGCTAGATACTTGTTTTTGACCAGTGCAGCCTTGATGAGTCAAAGGGTATTTTTCTGTGCTATAGACCTTTTATGACTGGATGAATTAATCAGTATCTTCAATTCATCTGCCTTATTTTCAAGGCTCCTTGCAATAAATACCATCCAGCCTTGCTGTGCTCCCTCGTGCCTTAACTTGACTATATACACAGTCTTCCACACTGACTTGTTTTTCTTCTGTTTACCTGTGCATCACCCCCTATTGAATCTCCACCCCCCATCAAATTTGTTTAAAACACCCACAAAGAGCATACATATTATATCCTTACATAGCTTAATATTAAAAGGCACAACGTAAACACAAGTTTTTGTGGATGATATCAGCTCATGGCAGTTTTCTGGGACGACTGATTGCATGAACTAACTTCCACATTTTCCAACATTTAAGCAGTGATGACACATCAAAAGTATTTAATTGGTTGCAAACACTTTGGGACACTGATCATTCAAGACACTTTGTAAACCAAGTATTTCTTTTGTCAATGTTAAGACATTATGTACCAGGGCCCTATAGGTACCATATGCATAATTAACATTTTTAATAGGTCATCTAGAAATTACAAACTAAAAACTTCATCTGCAACAAAATGTGTCATGTTATGCCACAATTCATTGACTTGTCCCTTACAAATTTGTACAAAACTTTCCGTCTTGGAACATAGGAGATTCAGCCCATTATTAGCTTTTAAAAATACATAAATTTCACCAAAATAGCCTTACATCTACTGTTAGTTGAGTAACTTGCACACACTAATGTACAACACATTTGTCCAGTTTTTAATTGGATAATTGTGTCCTGGGTAAAATACACATAATTTCATTTCAAAAACAAATTTAAAGATGAGGATTATTTCACTACTGTCACTAACAGTGATAATACAAACTTACAAAAAGTGAACACATTGAACAGACTGCCAAAGATGCTCATTTACATGGGGTGGTGTGGGACATTTTACAACAGAAATACATAAATGGGTGAAGGAAGCAGCATTTGTTTGCTATTTATTTCCTAGTCTAGGCAGATACACCAGAGTCTTGGCCAGTCTTGTAATTTCAAAGCCAACATTTACCAGGCAGCAAAAATTTAAACTTTAAATTTCTCAAGCACTACTTCAGTTTTTTTTTAAATTAAGCATCAACACTAAAAGACCTATTCTGACTCTCAATTAGGCATTATCAACATGGGTCAAAACCTGAAAACAAAAAAGGGTCTCACGCCAAATACACTTATCTGTCAATGTTTTAAATGTCAGAAAAGCTCGAATCCGGTTAATTGTAATCAGTTGCAACGTATTATATATCTCATTCATGCTGGCAACTTTCCAAGCTGATGTCTCAATTGGATGCCAATCAATACGGTTTAATCGCGGAAGTATAAGGGGAAATTCTCGAACAAACCGGTGGAAGGCCTTAGCCTGGTTAAGTTAGACAGTTCTACGACCCTGCAGTTGAGATTAATGCCAGTCAAATCCGTGCCTCGGTAAAGCAAATTAAGGCAGTTTAGCAGATTTCGAGGCTCAATTTTCACTCCTGCAAGTCTCTCCTCTTTCACAACCGAACGAGGAAACTCACCCAAGGCCACCTCGCAGGCTTTGCGGAGCTGGGTATGGTGAGTTTTCCTTACGTCTTTATCGGCGAGGATCTTCTCAAGCGCTCGAGTCAAAAACATATTCTTCGTTTTGCTGCCCTCGTGCATGATTTTTCAGCTGTCGGTGACAGAGATAGCAGCAGCCAACGCAAACTCCTCCTAAGGACCTGGCACCGCCATGTTGGCGAGCTGACACGTGACCCGCCACTTAACCTCTAACCTCGACCCACCCACCCAGAGACCGGCGGTTGTCGTCAATGGAAACGGGAGGCTCTGCTCTTCTCTCGGGAGGGTGAGCAAGGGCTTCCTTTTAGTCCCGAGGAGAAGGAGTGACTGATGGAGTGAGGGACTAGTAGAAGGCTGATCGCTTATCTACGTTATTACCGATTGAGGTGAATTATTTTCCAAACGCAACGGGAAATATTGTCACAGTTGAAGCAGTAAACCCTCACGTGTTTTCAGTGAATCGCCCCAATTATTTTGGGCATTATTTGTGCGCGCATTTTTTTTCAAAAATCCACCCCTGTTAAAGATTTATAACCTCTCGTTTTTATCACATTTCTAGTTATTTTCCATCTGTTCCCACTCACTTTCATGAGTTGCCACTTTGTTTTCCATTGCAGATTATCACCTTCATTTTTCAAAAATTGTTTTTCTTACCTAGCAGCGGCCTATGTAATCAGGGGATTCGTATCTGAACAATCTGAGTTCAGATATCGCCACAGCGATTTTAAAAAATCTGGTTGGAAAATGTTGGTACCATTGATGGTAACTGGAAAGTGATTGGGTTATTGTACAAACCTAATAAAAACCGAAAGAATTGCAGATTCTGTAAATCAGAAACAAAAACAGAAGTTGCTGGAAAAGCTCAGCTTCATTTCTCTTCGCAGATGCTGCGAGACCTGCTGAGCTTTTCCAGCAACTTCTGTTTTTATTATTGTAAAATCCTACTTGGTTCATCAACATCTTACAGTCCCATCTAATATAATTCCAATATGATTATAAGAGTGAGCTCATATTCCGCTTGGGAACCCTGCAGCCCAATGGTATCAATGTGGATTTCACAAGTTTCAAAATCTCCCCTCCCCCTACTGCATCCCAAAACCAGTCCAGCTCGTCCCTGCCTCCCTAACCTGTTCTTCCTCCCACCTATCCCCTCCTCCCACCTCAAGCCGCACCTCCATCTCCTACCGACCAACCTCATCCCGCCCCCTTGACCTGTCCGTCCTCCCTGGACTGACCTATCCCCTTCCTAACTCCCTACCTACACTCACCTTTACTGGCTCCATCCCCGCCTCTTCGACCTGTTTGTTTCCTCTCCTCTATCCCTCTTCTATCCGCCTCCCACTCTCTCCCTATTTATTTCAGAACCCCCTTCCCCTCCCCCTTTTCTGATGAAGGGTCTAGGCCCGAAACGTCAGCCTCTCTGCTCCTATGATGCTGCTTGGCCTGCCGTGTTCATCCAGCCCTGCACCTTGTTGTCTCGGATTCTCCAGCATCTACAGTTCCTACTATCTATGATTATAAGAGTGATGTGTTCTTGCGTATGCATATGTAAGTATCCAAAATGCCACATCACTTGTGAGTATAATAGTCAACGTACTGAGCAACAATGTTATCAATCGGCAGTACATGGAGTGTGTTGTATGAACAATTTCTACTCTTGTTCGTCATGTTGTATGAGCTCCCTGTAGCATTGCCCATTATAAGGTAGATTTGCTGCCTCCATCTAATTTTAGGTTGGGAGCTACTGGACCTGCCTGGTCAAGTGTAGTAAAGGACAGTCATTCTATAATCTTATGAGAAGTCTCCTGTTTTAAATATGATGTAGTTTATTGCATGATAGTATCCAGGTATAAGTTACATTAATAAGATAAAAATTGTTTACAAATGTTATGAGGAAGAACCTGACGGTAGGTCTTATTCCCATGAGAATTTAAGCTGTTCTTCACCAATTCCCTATGACATGAGTGGTGCTTAAGGTACTCACCTCAGCATTAATCTTTTCAGACCCTTACATAATGTTTCCCTCCCAAAGCTTTTTCCCATTATTAACATTAAGTGTGTGAGTCCCTTTTAAACTGGAGAACTGTTTGTTTCTTAGATTTCCTTTGTGGAGGATGCCTTTCTGGCTGAAACAGAAAATTACTGTGGAAAAGTATTGCACTATTGTGATATCCATAGGACCTTTAATCTCATGAATTTCCTTGGTGGAAGATGGCTGGCCTGTTGAAACAGGCACTTTTTTGCTGTATCCTGGATCTCAAGAAGACAATTTCTTCTTGACCATATCCTGAATCCAATCTCCCTTCTTAGTTGTGGCTTCCTTGGAGTTGTTTGTACCACATTTTCAATCTGTGTCAGCAAACTTTTGTTTTTAATCTGCCAGTAAATCTGTTTTGAAGTGTGTAGGCGTTTTACTTCAACTTGTTAATTAGGTTAGACACTTTCATTCACTGTCAGTGATTGCAACACTAGTGAAACTTTTAGTATTATGTTTACTTCCACAGTCCTGATATTTGTGCAGTACTTCGTGGTTGGCTTAATTTCTGACCCTGTTACTGAGAGGATTTTTCCTCGGAAGACAAGGAGATTAAATTCTCTCTTTAAACTTGCATTTTCCAAATCACCACAGCATATGACATCAAATTTAAATCTGTCACTATTATTTTTTCATTATGATGAGGTGCGCTGTGAATTAAATCAATTAAAAATTCATCAATAAGCTCATATGATTGATTCATCAATGCTATTCATTGGCTATCTGATTACTTGTTTCCTTACAAACCTTGCTGATTATTGCAATCAGAACTTTTTTCAGTATTTGTAACAGTGGAAAACATTTCTGCCAATTCCTTGTAGTTGGAAGTTTTCATCTCGATTATAACATTGAACAACTCTATTATGCCAGCATAGCTAATCTTATTGTTCCTCTTTTCTGCTTGGGTTTTGCCATGAATCTAGGGAGTGTTATGAAATCTTCAACCAGTTGTTCTTTGATCAGTCCTTACACAACTGGTTGGTGAGTAACGTAATGTACCTTGACCTGTTGTTCCATGGCTAGTTGTTCCTGGACCAGATTTTTTTTAACAAAACTAGTTTGACTCTTTCTGCCATTTGAAGATTCATGCTCAAGAATGAGAATTGTTCATTGTGAAATACGTCTAAGTTCTCTAATACCATACACTCCTTGTAATGAAGAGTTGTTTGTAGGATATCTCAAGTGCTATACTTCTCGCACCGTATCATCGCACTGATGTCAGCTGGTGACGGTGTTTCTTCAACCATGGTATATCTGATAATAGTGATACTTGGCCCATATCGAATTTAAAATTAATTAGATGTCTATTGGTATTAAAGTCTTCTGCTAAAAAGGCTAGGTCTGGATTGCCTATTTGCCTAGGAGAGCTTTTGGATTTTTTTATGTTGCTTGTCTGACGTCACTAGCTACTTTTGTGAGCAGCTACGTGGCTTCTTGCTACTCTGTACCTGTGTCCCACTTAGGTCATTTTCAAAAAAATGTACCAATGTTACAGAAAAAGCATTCTCTTGAAATAGCTGGACACTGCCTGAGATTTCTTTGCTCCACATTGCTGACAATGACTAACACCAACAGGGTTGTCTCTTGATGTTAATAATCAAAATAAAAGTGGAAACTTTTTTTAATGCACAGGATGTAGGCATTACTGACAATGCCAGCATTCATTGCTATCCCTAATTCCTAAAGGGCATTTGAGAGTCAACCACATTGCTGTGGGTCTGGAGTCACACCAGGTAAGGTCAAACCACGTAAGTTTCCTTCCCTAAAGGACATTAGTGAACCAGATGGACTTTTAAAACAGTCGGCAATGGTTTCATGGTCATCATAAATTCGGGTTTTTAAATTCATGGTGGAATATGAACCAGAGTCTCTAGAACATTACCTGGGTCTCTGGATTAATAGTCTATTATTAATACAACTAGCCCATCACCACCTCTAAACTTTAATCGCATACAATTTCCTTCAAGCTCAGGAAATGCAAGCAAGTCACTCCATTACACCAAACTGCCAGCAGTAGTTCAAAAAGGCCCATCAACACAGGACAATAAAAGGTGGGCAATAAATGTCAGCAATTTGCCTTGTCACAAAAATGTTATTAAAAATTGCTGCATAATAATTAAGTTTTCCATGAATGGTGGTGTGTTGCACTAATTTCCTTTCAAAATCTTAATTCCTCAATGTTCCTGTTTGCTGCACTGTTTTTGTTTCTTTCCTGTCCTAATTCTGTTTCCTGAAGTTATAACGCTCACTTTATAAAACAGCATTTTTGACAAGTTGACCGCACATCTTATTGGTGGCATGGACAAGGAGCTAGTTTTATTTTGTTAAATTCCAGATGGACTTTCCAAATTCAACTGTCACTGCCGTCTTGTGGAAAACATTTGAAATCAATTCCTTTTTTCAGATGGTAAATTTAACCAATATCCCAGTGAATAGTCTTGAAGTATTCCCAAGCCATGAAACCGGTCTGGATCTCTAGTGGGTCCCAACTTTGTTGTGCAAAAGTACAGTATGTATCTTGTCAGTGGACAGTTCACTGTGAAAAAGAAAATAGGATTATTAGAAGTTCTGTCATATGATATCATTCCATCAGTTCCACTTTCCTGTGTTATCTCAGGCTGCAACGGGTACACAGAATAACACTTGCAGCCACCCTGAATGAAAGGCCAATATTAATTTCAACAAGACACGTACTTGATCCTACTAGGTTATATCCCAATTTAAATCCACAGTTGTCCTTGTCCACTCAAAATAGGGAGACCTGAAGAAATTCAAGGCTGCACCATTTGCATTTTCCAAAAAATTATAAGGAATGTCTCAACACTGGATCAATAAGGGAACACATTCTCAGTTATCATCATGCTATGAGTTACTGTGATGAACAAATTGAACACGTCAACCACACTTAACTCCAGCAGGTATATGGCATCAGGAGTTTGGCATGGGAGAACAATGTTGGAAAACGGATCTTTTTTACAACTTGTAAGATAATAAAAGCTGGGAACGGCAGTAACAATGTTTATCCAAGTGAATCCTGTTTATTTTAGTTGACTCTTCAGGAGACAGTCCAGTGAAATGTATATGCTGAAAATTGAAATACTTGTTGTTTATTTGAATCTGCTCTCCTTTTCTGTTATCACTCTTAAGTTTCACTCCCTCATCACCTGTCCTTATTGATCTTCTTTGATTCTTGATTTCCTAATGAATCAAATGTAAAATTTTGATTTTTGTATTTCGATTGTTTCATGGACTCCTTCCTCCTTACCTATGTAACT